ATAAATTAGATTTTTTTTTTTTAAAAACTACTTAACAAAACGAAAAACGGACAATTGTTCATCCTTTAAATAAATAATGAAAAAATAGCAATAATTAATGCGAAAAATTCAGTTTTTCAAAAATAATGCAAATTCACTCAAATTCACTGCAAAAATCCAAAATACACAAACAACAAACAACAAAACGTAAACAAATGTTTGACATTTAATTTGAGGTTAAGCTGTCGGGGTGGTGAACTCTCACTTTCATGTTCGTTGCTCCGGGGCTGTACTTCATTGCACCAAGCAAGGATACTGCACCCGGGGTGACTTGGGTTGAACCAGACGAGAAAAAGAAGCACCCTTTTGAATTTGACAAGTGAAGTTTGTTTGCTCCGCCCCACTCTACTTACGCACTTCTGGTTCCGGCGGAAACCTTCGCTGGTGGCACGTGGAACCCAACGTTGTTTGAGACACGTGCAGACTGCACAGTGGATGATTGATTTTTTGCATCACATGGCGCCAAAAATCACGATGGAACAATCAATAACCACTAAAAAGGCACTTTTTGAGGGTTTTTAAAGCACTTTTAGGTTCCGAACTATCCAGTATCCGGCTCGAACTGGCCAAAATTATGTGCAAAACCACATAATGGAAGATAAATAACTTGATAATTAGTGGACTGTATAATTAGGTGGACTGGATGATCGACTGGATAGGGAACTAAAACACACGCGCTTTTCACTGACACTATATTTACAACAATTTACACAATATTTACACTATTTACAATTACTACTACAAGATGACAAGAAGCCAGAGCTTGCTTAGATGCCCAACAGGGCAGAGCTAGATTATAAAATTTATTAAAATGTGAAAAGGTTTCTGGATGCTTGTTAACGTGGACAAGCTCCAAGCTACACTGCTGCAATGACAAAAATGGCGCGCAATATATTGACAGACATGACAAAATAGACATGACGACAACGCTGCAGTGTTGCAAACTTTATATGTATAAAAATATTTTGCCATCAAAAAGAGATAGCATGATTGTTGGAACATGTTTCCAACAAGAAGTAAGGGAATTCAATGAAGGTCGAAACAAGATAAGAGAAGAAAGCAAGCAACAGATACTCAAGGTGCAAGAGGATAATAGGAAGAGATATAACTTAAGAAGAAGAAAACCCAAAAAATATAAAGAGGGGGATCTGGTTGCTATCAAAAGGACACAATTTGGTCCAGGACTCAAGCTGAGTCGCAAATATTTGGGACCCTATGAGATCACAAAAAGTAAAGGGCATGAAAGATACAACGTAGTGAAAGTAGGTCATCACGAGGGACCAATGCGGACCACAACTTGTTCAGAGTATTTAAAACCATGGGTCGGATACGATAGTGACAATGAATCCGAGACGGATTCTATGTCGGATGGCCGAATGTAGGATTAATTATTTAATACAAAAATATGTCATTCGAAAACTCCTCAATATTTCCATAATAAATTATTATAATGCATCTCTTTTAAAAGTTGACCTTGATTCTAAAAATAGACTAGGCGCAGGTATAGGCTAGGAGGGTAGTGGAGATGAGAGGGGGGTAGCTGGCAAGTGGCAACAATAAGTGGAAGTCAGAAGTCAGGGGGCAGTCGGCAACCACCATTATAAGACGTAAGACGTGTTGCTTGGCCAGTCGTGACGGGACGTGTCGCGTGGTCTATAATTATTAAAGACGTGATAATTATATTAATTAAAAGACGAGAAGACGTATAAACATTTTGATGACGATTCTAAGACGAAGTTGGTGATTTTACGAGTTCATTGTGTACCTAGTTGCTAGTTGAAGGCTGTACTGTGGTGGTGCTCCGCTGTTAAATGTGCCTAGTCATTAACCTAAATCCATTCAATCGGTCGGTCAGTGCAATTAAAGTGCGCCAAATATTATTAATATTTAATAATGTGTTTTTATTGTTGAAACCAACCCCCACCCCTAGACAACAAACAAGAAAAGGCCTACAGAAGACTAGCATGATCCGTGATAACTTAAATTCTGTACCCTCTACATACATTCGGAATTTCTCCAAAGAAAACAACAAGGCAAGGAGCTCTCGCTCTGTCACTGTATAATTACGCTCAGCTCTGGACAAAGTCCTAGAACAGTAAGCGATCACCCGCTCACCACCATCCAATTCTTGAGTCAAAACACCTCCCAGACCAGTGTCGCTTGCATCACATTGAATTGTAAAGGTTTGGCTAAAATCGGGGGAACACAACACAGGGGCTACTATAAGAGCATTTTTTATATTGATAAACGCTTCTTCAGCGTTTGGATTCCAATCCACCTTTTGTTTTTTCTTCTTCCCTTTCAGCAAGTCATTTATTGACGACACCAGCGTCGAAAAGTTTGATATGAAACGTCTGTACCAACTGCAAAGACCTATAAACCTCTTTATTTCCGTGGTGGTTGTCGGTTGGGGATAATTTACCATTGTTGAAACCTTCTCTGGATCTGTGCGGAGTCCTCGACCTCCCTCAATTATATATCCTAAATATTTTAACCGAGTTTTGAAAAACTCACACTTATCTGGGTTGATAGTCAAATTCGCATCTAGCAAAATATCCCTTACCTCGCCTAATAGTCTCAAATGGTCTTCAAAAGTTTCAGAAATAATGATAATATCATCCAGATATGTGAAAATATTGGGCTCGTATTTAGGGCCGAACAACGCGTCTACTAGACGTTGCTGAGTCTGCGCACTATTGCACAAGCCAAATGGCATCACCTTAAAGTGAAAAAGACCTCGAGATGGAACTGTGAAGGCAGTTTTCTCACGTGAAGAATGGTCGAGAGGAATTTGCCAGAATGCTTTTCTAAGGTCAATGCTCGAGATGAACTTGGCTCCACGAAGAGAGCTAAGTATCCTTTCAACCCTTGGAAGAGGATATGAATCGTGACGGGTCAATTCGTTCAACCTTCGTCCGTCGAAGCATAGCTGGTGTTCACCGCTTGCTTTCTTGACCAACAGAACAGGACTATTCCACGGACTGTGGGATGGTTCTACAACACCTAACTTCAACATCTCATCTAATTCTTTATTTAGAATATTTATCATGAAAGGGCTCATTAAATACTGTCGTAATTTGAAAGGCTTGGCATCGCCAGTGTCAATATTCATAGTTATTTTGTTAGTAAGGCCTAACCTATCTTTACTGCTGAGTATACCAAAAGAAGTGACAACACTTTTTGCTTTTTCTCTTTGACTATCAGACAGAGTTTCCAATGAACATAAACCAGCATAATTAACATTATCAGGGAGTTTACTAACTGCATCTATATTGGTATTCAAAAAGTCAGAATTGATTCGCCATTCATTTTTCTTGAAGTCAAAACTAATTTGAAACTTCCTACAAAAATCACTTCCAAAAATAAAGGAGTGCGTAAGCGAAGGCACTACGTATGAGGCTAATAACTGTACAGAATTATTAATAATAACTGGCAAATTGACCATGCCCTTAACTTTTTGTTCAGTACCATCGGCAGTGACAACATGTTTTAGAGGCACGCTATAAATCTCCAATTTTAACTGTTTCTAAACCTCTAAACCTAATTTCCCTACAACTGAAATATTTGCACCACTATCTAATAAAACTGTAATTTGTTGATCGTAAAGGTTCACCGATATATAGGGCCTATTGTCATTTTCTTTGAGCAAAAACATTGGCAAAATTTTATGAACTAAGTCAATACTGACACTTGAGTTGTTGACTTGAACAGAACGAGAAGTTCGCGAGTCAACGACGCGCTTCTCTAACGGGAGTTTCCCGAACACTTGGAACAATTTTTTGAAGTTACATCTGGTGCTCCACATTTAAAACAAAATGTTTTCTTGATACTCAAAGTACAATGTTTGAAAATGTGATTTTGACCACCACACTTCCAACAAACACTATCTTGTTGTTTAGATTTATTTTTAGAAAAATTCGAATTATTAGATTTCGTTGAAACACCATTTCTAGAATTTTGTCCAGTGGCGTTCCTGTGGGAGTAATTACTTTTGTTTATGCCCTTGGAAATATTTAAATGATGCTTATTAAGCTCTGATTTATTTTCAGCACAGAATTCATCATTCAATTCTAAAACTTGCCTAGATGAACCAGAAGACAAACCCAATATATCAGCTTCCTCTAAACGCTTACATAACTTACTTAATTCTTCGCACTTTAGCTCAAATTTTGCAAAAGCTTCAAAGCCGATTATCTTGAAAACGAAGCCCTTGGGCTCAAAGTCTGGAATAACCTTTTTTAAAGCTCTTATTGAGAGTTGCCAGAGTTGCAGCTAGAACCCGAAAAATGAAAATAGAGATAAAAAGTCAAAAAAGTTGACAGAAACTTTTTCTGATAATTTTTCTTGGAATCTGATAATTATTTTGTTCTCAAATCCTGATCAGAGCTGCAACAAGTCACTTTTAAAAAGACTTAAATCTTAAGTCTTAAGTCATTTCTAAAATCAAAATGATTTAAATCTTAAGTCAATTCTAACATAAAGTTCAAATTATTTAAGTCTTAAGTCTTTGACTTGAAGTATTTTCTCTCAAGTCAAGTCATTTCCGTAATGACTTAAGTCAGTATAATGTGGTTTAAGTCATTTTATGACCTAAATCCTTCAGTAAGTCATTTTAATGACTTAAGTCTATGAGTATTTTTGATATAAATTATGATGAACTGACTGAAATCAAAAAATTTGACTTAAGTCAAGAAAACGAGAAATCAATTTAAGTACCTTTTTCCAAAATAATATCAATTTTTGATTAAATTTGATAAAATATATGAAAAATCTGATCTAAATCTTTTCTAAAAATACCTAAAAATTTTATAAATTACTTAAATCCTCTGATCCTGATAATTTTAAATTTGACATCTGACAACACTGGCCCCAACAAAATAGCAGAGGAACCCTCACTTACCGAAAACATTCATTCCACATCTAATTTGCTCCATTAAATCAGAATCGAGCAAATTTCTCACTTCCCATGTGCCCTTGTGGTTCATGTAGTTTTCAAATCCCTCTTCATCGATTTTACTCCGCCTATTAATATTTATGGTAATTATTTCTTCAGGAACCTCTTGGACATCGTCAAACTTAGGCGCGGAAATTTTAAATATTTCTCCGCCAGATAAAAATTGTTTTTTCAAATTTTCCATTTGGCCATCGCTAGGTTCTTGCCTGTAGCGTTTTTTGTATTTTGACGTTTCTATTGAAATTTTCACAATGTCTTCCAAGGCATCGTTGCAAAATTTGTTGATTGTTTGCTGTTTCAATTTGACTTTTTGGTTCCAGATTTTTTTGTGTAGTTTTTGCACTCTTTCGCGTTCTAAGTAATATAATAGTTTTTGCTTGTCGAATTCGTAATCTTTCGACTCTAGAGCTTCAATGAAATTTTGTTGTTTGGGTTTGTATTCATTTTCTGTTTTTGTGTGGATTAGTTGTTTTGAATATTGATGTCTCATTACTTCATCATCCTCAGATTTGGCTTTGGGCAATTTTTTTTTTAATTTGTTATTTTCTTGTCGCATTTTACGTTTTTTATGTAAATTGTTTATTATTTGCTTGACTTTTTTCGGATCCGGTACAAACTTGGGTATTTTTCTAGCTTCGTTTTGTAAACTAATCAATTCTTCATAAGTCCTTGTATCTAAATCTCTTAATTCTTCATCATCTTCAGTAATAACCGAAGAAGGGTATTTTATATGGGTTTGTTTTTTGTTAATTATTTCTAAATCTTTGTCAGAACTGGGTTTGTTTGCATAGAATATTTTGCCTAATTGAGCAATTAATTTTCTATCATTTACATCAAATTTTGTTTTATCCTTTAATTCCAATAAAACTCGGAAGAATAAATCTAAAGATGCTGAGCCAATTCCATTAACTATATCATAAATATTTTCTTCAGATAAATTTACGTGTAAATTATTCAACCAGAAATTTATGATTGTAAAATTATCTTTGCAATCGCTTAAATGGTCAGTTTTCTTCAGCGAATTCAAATCTTCGGTGGTTATTATTTTGTAGCTGTGCAAAAGTTGAGAAAGCAAACGTCCATTTGCGGTTTTCACTCTGAAAATCTCTGGGGTCATGTCCGCCACATAATTTATACGATTCAATATCCATTTTGATATAATTTCACTCATTGTTCATTGCATTTATTGAAAAAAATGTTGTCGATTTGTAAATTCTGACTTTTATGTGTCGTGTACCAGGAAAAAGGTTGCTGGTCTTGAATGAATCGACTTCAATGTAATATAAAATGTAAAGTTGGCAACATTGGAAAAGTTTTGGAAAATCCCCAAGCTCCGATTTTAGACACGTTTTATCCTGTATACCAATAGGTCTATTCGGCAAAGTGAATTTTTACTAATTTTTGACAGATAATTTTTTTAACAGGATCATTTCACTGAATTTTAACCGGAAATTTTACTCATATTTTACCGAAGAATTTTACGAATTTTATTGATTTTTTATCGCGAATTTTATTGATTTTTGCTGGAATTTTACTCACTTTTCACTGATCTTTAAACAGAGATTTTTTTCAATAAGAGAATTTTACTCATTTTTTACCGGGAATTTTTTTACTGTAGACTTACTCGTTATTGACTGCGAATTTCACTTAATTTTTACTCATTTTTGACAAAGATTATTTTTCTCCGAAGAATTTTACTTATTTTGAATTTTAAACAGGAATTTTACTCATTTTACCGAAGTACTAGACTCATTTTTGACCGAAAATTTTACTCACTCTTTACTCGTTTTAATCATTTTTCACAGAAAAATTTTACTGAAATTTGACCGGGAATTTTACTCAGATTTTACCGAAGAATTTTACTAATTTTTGACCACGAATTTTACTAATTTTTGACTGGGAATTTTAGTCACTTTCTACTTTCTATGATTTTTTTTATAATTTTTTATGATTTTTAGAAATTCTCATGATTTTTAGTAAATTTTTATGATTCTTAGAAATTTTCATGATTTTTGTGAATTTTTATGGTTTTTGAAATTTCCATGATTTTTGTAGATTTTTATGATTTTCGTGATTTTTATAATTTTCCCGATTTTCCTAATTTCTATGATTTTGCGAATTTTTAGTAGTTTTCTTAAATTTTTATGATTTTCATAAATTCCTATGAATTTTTATGAATTTTTATAATTTTTGGAAATTTTCATAATTTTTTTGAATTTTTATGATTTTTGAACATTTTTATGATTTTTGTCAATTTTGTAATTTTTTATAATTTTCGTGATTTTTGTAATTTTCCTGATATTCCTAATTTATTTGGTTTTTTCGAATTTTTGTAATCTTTTGTAATTTTCTTAAATTTTTATGATCTTTGTAAATTTTCATGGTTTTTGATTATCATAAATTTCTATGATTTTTTTGAATTTTTGTAATCTTTGTAAATTTTCATGATTTTTGATTTTCATAAATTTCTAGTTTTTGTGAATTTTCATGATTTTTTTGCAAATTTTTATGATTTTTGAAAATTTTCATCATTTTTTTTGTGAATTTTTATGAATTTTGGAATTTTTCATGATATTTATGATTTTTGATAATTTTCATGATTTTTATGATTTTTCAAAATTTTTGTTTTCATGATTTTTGAAATTTTCCTGATTTCCTTAATTTCCATGAATTTTCCGAATTTTTTTAATCTTTTGTAATTTTCTTAAAATTTTTATGATCTTTGTTTATTTTCATGATTTTTGATTCTCATAAATTTTTATGATTTTTGAAAATTTTCATGATTTTCATGATTTTTGAAAATTTTTATGATTTTTGCAAATTTTCATGATTTTTGATTTTCATAAATTTCAATGATTTTTTGTGAATTTTTATAATTTTTGTGATTTTCGTAAATTTTTATAATTTTCATGATTTTTGTAATTTTCCTGATTTTCTCAATTTCCATGATTTTTTCGAATTATTGAAATCTTTTGTAATTTATAAATTTTTTTAAATTTTTATGATTTTCGTGATTTTTATAATTTTTATAATTTTCTTAATTTCCATGATTTTTTCGAATTATTGCATTTTTTTATAATTTTTTGTAAATTTTCATGATTTTTGGAAATTTTCATGATTTTTGATTTTTATAAATTTCTATATTTTGTGAATTTTTATAATTTTTGTGAATTTTTTATGATTTTTGTGATTTTTGTAATTTTCCTGATTTTTTTTGTGTAATTTTTTGTGATTTTCGTAAATTTTCATGATTTTTGTAAATTTTCATGAATTTTGTGACTCGGAAATTTTTATGATTTTTGTGATTATTGAAAATTTTAATGATTTTCATTCATTTTTATGATTTTTGTAAATTTGATTTTTGCAAGTTTTCATGATTTTTGAAAAATCTTACGATTTTTGTAATTTTCGTAAACTTGTATAAATTTTATGATTTCTGGAAAATTTCATAAATTTTGTGTTTTTCGTAGATTTTTGTGAATTTTAAAATTTTCACGATTTTCCAAATTTTTACGATTTTTATAAATTTTTATGAATTTTGTGATTTTTGGAAAATTTCATCATTTTTATGATTTTCGTAGATTTTTGTGAATTTTCGAAAATTTTTATAATTTTTGAAATTTTTACGATTATAAAAATTTACGAAAATCATAAAAATCATAAAAATGATGAAATATTCCATAAATCACAAAATTCCTAAAAATTAACGAAAATCACGAAATTAATATAAAAATTTACAAAAATTTATAAAAATCGTAAAAATTTCAAAAATCACAAAAATTATAAAAGTTAACAAAAATCACAAAAATTATGAAATTTTCCAAAAATCATAAAAATAATGAAATTTTCCAAAAATCACAAAATTCATAAAAATTAACTTAATTATTAATTAATTTTTGACCACGAAATTTATTAATTTTTGATCGCGAATTTTATTAATTTTTGACTTGTAATTTTAGTCACTTTTTACTACATATACGTATATAATGAAAAAGTGAATTTGATGAGGGTGCAGCCAATTTTTGAAATCTTCTAGATCTTCTTAGGCATCAAAAAGAGACTCTTTTTATTTGTGAAAGCTTTCGGTATAATTTCAATACCTTCTTCAGTCACTCTACAATATAGTTGTTATAAAGTTACAATTATTTATAAATTAATAAATTAATTATTGTAAGTTTTTTAATTTATTAATTTATAGATAATTGTAACTTTATAACAACTATATTGTAGAGTGACTGAAGAAGGTATTGAAATTATACCAAAAGCTTTCACAAATAAAAAGAGTCGCTTTTTAATGCCTAAGAAGATCTAGAAGATTTCAAAAATTGGCTGCAACCTCATCAAATTCACTTTTTTATTAAATTATCAGACAGCCGTAAAACTATCAAGCTATACGTATACAGGGTGTCCCACGGTGGATGGCGTATTAGACGTTTATAGAGAACTAAAAAGCGGATCATTTTGAAAATTTGGCAACCGGGATAAACGACCATAATCTACACTTTAAAAATATTTTTGTTTATGCGGTGTTGCCGCTTTTACTCTAAACCAGTGGCAACATCGCTATTTTAAATGAAACACCCTGTATGTGATTGCATACTTGGATTCTACGTAAAATTCTGAGCAGATTTTATGTGATATACCCTATACCTAAGTTCAACTGTTTTGGAAATATTGACAGTTGAAAATTGACTTTTTGCAACTTTGACAGGCTGTAAAACCTAAACGGTTAATTTCAGAGGAAAACCGATCTCACATTCCTATCTTAGATTTTCGTAAACTATCATTTGACACCAACTTTAAATTTAACCGGAGATTAAATTTAATTGGAATTTTTAATCATGGATTAAATTCAAAATTGGTGTCAAATGATAGTTTAGAAAAATCTAAGATAGGAATGTAAAATCGGTTTTTCTCTAAAATTAACGTTTCAGGTTTTACAGCCTGTCAAAGTTGCAAAAAGTCAATTTTCAACTGTCAATATTTCCAAAACAGTTGAACTTAGGTATAGGGTATATCACATGAAATCTGTTCAGAATTTTATGTAGAATCCAAATTTAAATACGGGGTGTTTCATTTAAAATAGCGATGTTGCCACTGGTTTAGAGTAGAAGCGGCAACACCGCATAAACAAAAATATTTTTAAAGTGTAGATCACGGTCATTTATCCCGGTTGCCAAATTTTCAAAATGATCCGCTTTTTAGTTCTCCATAAACGTCTAATACGCCATCCACCGTGGGACACCCTGTATATCAGTGGTTCCCAACCTTTTTTTTCTGCGCCCCCTTTCTGAAATCAAGAAGTAGTCGCGCCCCCCTTCCTTCCCCCATTATACCTCGCATTATACAAAAACATTTTTTTTACTTACTGTCTCGTCTGAACAGAGACGCTTTCGGGTGCTCTTAGAACACTTCACACCCGTCAGTGACTCATGCAAAACGCGTGTTGCACTCGAACGCTTGAAACCGAACGAGCCAAACTGTAGCCGGAATACTTCGGAGTAACTCGGGAGCGCTCAACGGATGGCACCCGAAAGCAGTTCTGAACTTTGGAAGGGGAGGAATTGGCATGACAGTAGGCAGCGAGCGTGCGCTGTAGCAATTAGAGATGCCACGAATAGTGATTTGGCCGAATACCGAATATTCGGCCACGCTCTCGTTTGTAGCACCGAATATTCTGCCGCCGAATATTCGGCGGCAGATCTGTGGGTTTTGTGCAGACCAGTCTCATTCTTATCGCGTCGCCCCCGGTATCGACGGAATTTGGTTCACTTGAGAATATATAGTGTCACAATACGCAATTTTACGCATTATTAGCTATATTCTTTTGATCGCACGTTATTACTTATACTACTGTTTATCAGTTTATCTTTAGCAAAAGTTATCAAAATAGCACCAGTAATTAATGAAAAGTCGCCTATTTAATAGATTTTAAGTATTAGATTTATTGTGACTTGTTATTAAATAGATACATTTTTGAGTATTATGTGCGTTTTTTTTTTTCATTATTCAGCTTCCGGTAGTCGGCCAAATATTCGGCCGGATAATACTATTCGGCCGAATACCGAATACAAATAAAAATGGCCGAATAGGCCGAATACCGAATAGTAGCCGAATATTCGTGGCATCTCTAGTAGCAATTATCGCATGGCAAAGTTGCTTTGGCTTAGG